AGAGAACTTTCTCAGCTAGGTGGCATGTCACCAGCAGTCCCACAAGAAAAGCTGTCTGAAGCTCTGCTCCGTACTGAAGCATCATTTATTGATCACCTGTATCAAGCACACAGCTGCTCGGCCACGGTGCGTGACGGGACACAACATCTCACCCGGAGGGAGGCACGCGGTACAGGACCAGCACGGCAGGGGGAAAGCACACTGAACCCTGGGGGGAGACAACCTGGGTGCAACGTGGTGCTCAGGCTTTGTGGGTAGGAGGCTGGAGAGCAGTGAGAATAAAAATCGGGAACAGAACCAAGATCAGGGCTGTCTTGTGCTTGGGCCAGTGATTTAAAAACCAATTGCCCTCCTTGCATATAATAAATAGGGGAAAGTGTAAGGAGCTTTCTCCCTCTCATTGCTCCGAGAGGAGGGACAGCTCCTCTTTGGCTGGCAGTGACATTTTGTGTCAGATCAGCTACAAAACCCAAACACCACCCAGGAACAGTGGCATGCCAACGTGTTTCCCATTCACATACATGCTCCCAGCGACCCAGCCCCATGTCCTGCCTCATCCCAGGGACCCAGGCCGGGTGCCCACCCCGGCATCCCCCCAGAGCAGCACCAGCCTCCCCTGGCCATCTCCAGAGGCTTCATCCATCACCCTTTCCTCTCCCCCAACGGCAGGCTGGGGGGTTCCACACGTAGCTGTCACCTAGCCAGGACTGCGCAGGTGGGTGTCACCCCACGGGCTGTCTGGAGGGAGCGGTGTCAGCAGCACAGACCAAGAAACCCAGTGAGCATCCGAGCAGAAAGCCTCAACGCTTCTGCAACTCGAGCGGGCAGGGTTTGGAGATGAGGAAAGCCAGGCCCACCCAGGCACACACAGTGGCAGATGCCCAGGATCGAATCACCGTGCACGCTTCAGGTACAATCCAGAGTTAAGAAAATCTCAGGTTTTAGAAGGGTTGAAACTTATGCCAAGCCACCGACAGATTGCTCAGACACCAGAGTGAGCTTCAGCGTGATAGGAAAAGGCTTTGAAGACAGAGGGCAAGGGATAAATAATAAAATGCTTCTGCTCCGAGGAGTTTCTAAACCCGCCTGTAGCCCACAGCCCGCAGAGGGAAGCCAGGGGCTGGATCCAGTGACAGGACAGGGATCAGCATCTTCAACTCTTGCCAGGAGGAAAACAGGAAAAAGCAGCAGCTTTGGGGATTTCGCCCAGCTCAGTGCCCAAGCATGGTCAACGAGCATCTGGAGAGAAAATCTGGTGGCAGGAGTTTGCATCTTGAAGATTTATTTAGCTCCTATTAAAGCAGCTGAACACAACCCCAGCCAGACTCTGGTGGAACAGCTCTACCACGCAGCAGCAATAGGCTGCTGCTCCTCTCTAAAGATTAATCCTGGCACAGCTCTTTACCTTTAGTTGCAAACCCAAAGCACAACTCTGACTGAAAAAAGAGATATGTTGAAAAGATAACAGAGCAGCTCACAGTCCTAGAAACACGCATGTGAGAATGTAAATGCATTTCAGCTCTGCACCCGCACCCTGGGATCTCCTTGTCGCAGTGCTGCTGCAGGTGACAGACCTCATCCCGCACCGAGGGGAGCTCCCCATGTCCCCATGTGGGCTGGCACGTGGCAGGGCAGGGGGTCTGCTTCTGCCAGCTGACAGGCACACACCAGCCAGCTCCACACTCCTGACATGATGGCATTCAACACACAAACTTCTGCGCCAAAGTGCTTTCGCCCCGGCACAGCCCACCAGGGACAGCGACTGCTGAGAGCTGAGCAGGTCACTCAATACCTACCGGTACTTAGAGAAATTTAAACACTGCTCTTCTCAAAGGAAAAACCCTCACCAAGTTAATCATCCGATCCATCCCAGACACTAGAGGTGCTTCGTTGCAAAGACAGTTAAATTAGAAGCAGTGAATCACACACCCCATCTCTGTGAAGCTGCTTTACAGCCACGTACACCAAAGTAGCATAATTCCCAGAAAAAAAGTCTGATCAGCAAATCACACCTTAAAACTCATTGTGGGATATTTTGTTTTTCATGGACAACCTACCACCTCAAGAGCAGGAGAAAAATTCGAAGAGATTGGTCCTTTCTGGGGGAGTTTGGGAAGGGCCACAGCAGACAGGACTCGACAGCAGCACACAGAGGAACTCCGACTCGTGAGATGCTGCAGACATTGAATCTCCTGACACACCACACACACAGGGCAAAAATCAAGAGGAACTTTTACGTGTAGGATTCCAGAAGTCCAGCCTCAGCAAGATGCAAAAAGTAAACTGCAAGGTAATTCAGGTATTATTCCAGGGAAGGTCAGAGATGGTTCGGGCAGCTGCCCACAAGTATTTCAGCTGCAGAAAATAATTCACGAGGGCTCTCCTCCTCACTAAAACTGGTACCAGGGCTGCAAGCCAGAATATGCTGGTCTCCCTCTACGTAGGGCTGCTCCACGCTGTGCTCCCCAGCAGCAAAGTGCCCAGTCCTGCAGGGAGAGGCTCTGCGGGGTGCGTGGGTTTGCACACCCCTGGGAGCACCCCTGCCCCATGCTGTCCGAGCAAGCTTCTGTCTGTGCACTGAAGCCGCGTGAGCAGAAAGCTCGCTCTGGGGGGAGCAGGCACACTGCTCACCCAGGTTTTTTTCTCCAAAAGCAGATGGCTGTTGTCCCTGACACTGGGAAAGACCTTCTCCTGGCCAGTCAAGCTTGATGGCTGAGAGAGCCCTTGCCATACACATCTCAGATTGCCTCAAGCCCTTTGTGTCACCTACGAAGGACCAAAAGTGTCAGTGCCTCTCATCTACGAGTCTAATGGGCTAATGCAAAACCAAAACGCACAACGCAGAAAATCCAAGCATGGGACCTACGACATACAAGTATTGTTTTTTTTCTTATAAGACTGGCGGGGGTCCTGCTGAGACACAAAGAATACTGCATGCTGTAGCGCTCCTTTCCAAAATACCACCTAAAGCCGCTTGTGTATTACGGATGATTTGGCATTAGAGCTGGGGAGCATCACTGCCAGCACAGTGTATGTGCTAGAGAGATGACTCCACACGACAGGGATTTCACATCACCTCAGGCTACAAAGTGCTTACAGGTTGTGTTGGGACCGAGGCTGGCGCTGCTCGGACACGTATCCAGCAGCAGCCCCTGCCCACCCCGGGCACACCAGTGAGTTCACACCTGCTGCCCAGCCCAGCATGCCATCTGCGCCAGGGCAGACGGATGGCTCCTCGCGGGTCACAGGGCAGTGACAGGGGAACACCGTAGGCTCAGCAGATCTGATTTCACTGCCTCTCTCTGCTCTGTGTGATGCAAAGACTCAAAAGACTTCCTGGTCTAGTTTAGAGAGAATGGCGATTCTGCTTCTTTATTTGTCACAGATACCAACAAAAGGCAGGGAAGCCTTCCTCGTCCTCCTCCTCCCCAGCGCTGGAGGAGAGCACATGCATTATAGGAAAGCTTAACAAAGAAATCCTCTCTCCAGAGCAAAATCAAGTGCTAAGGCCAAGACTTTAAATGGTCTCAATTCAGATCACTTACAAGCGCTTGCCAAGATCTGCTGGGCCTCCCAGGCTCCCTGGTCACCACTGCGGCCACTCAAGCACCTGCCGGGCAAAGCCACACACCCAGTGTAAACGAACAAGCAGGACACACGCACAAGCACACGCCAAAAGCCATCCCGGCCTCCTCTGCACATCACAAAGCAGCAGTAAAGGTTTCAAAGCCCAGTGAAGTCCTTTGCATCTGTCCTTCACAGATGACTCAAAAGCAGGGCTAGGAAGCTCTTTTGTACATTCAAAACTGTGAAACACATGAGGAAGAGGAGCAAGACAACTCTCTTGATTGTTGCTACTGCCTACAGCAAGTTTTGGTACAGATATCCTCTCTTATAGGCACTCAGTGGGTAAAACGTAGCCACAACAAACTTGCCATCAAAAATCTTTCCAGTCAGCATTTTTTGGGCAGCTTTGGAATCACCAGCATTTGCATATTCAACAAAGACCTGAAAGAGAGAGAGGAGAAATCGGACTTCCAGTGCAGCTTGGCACCCACCCCTTCCCACGCCTGCAACTGGGAAAACAGCTCCCAAACAAATTTTTCCCCTCTGTCCTTGGTTGAGCCCAGAGCAGTGAAGCTAAAAAGGAAGGAGCTGTATCTCTGAACTGGAATTTCATCTCTTGCCCCTCATTTCTAATGGAAGCGTGTTTGGTGAGGTGGGAGAAAACATGATGCTGCTCTACATCCTCAATGCTTCCCCTCCCACCCACCAGCTTCTCCCCTTCCTTCCCATATCCCGGCTCCCCTGCTAAAGCTGTTTGGAGACCTCCCAAGTTAGGTTACATAACTGGGAAGGAACCTGTGCTGTCCTTCAAGATAACCAGCTATTTTTAGCACTGGCATCAGCCCGGAGATTTCCAGGAGCTGAGCAGCAGTCCTGCAGCACATGGAGCACAGGTGGGAATACAGAGCCTCTTCCCTCCACTTACTTGGCCTTTACCAGGATTCTCCTTTGGAATAAGCAAGGAAACCACCGGTCCGTATTTCTGACACTCCTCCCTTATGTCTTCCAAGATATCTGAGAAAGGCAAAAAGGTGGTTGCCTTTCACTTTGCAAATTAGCATGAGCCAAGAAACAAATAAAGGCCAGATGAAAACATCACGAATACTCACTCAACATGTAGCTTTTTCCTCTCAATTTGAAACAAACAATTGAGAGGTGCCACGGCAGAAGCTGATGCTGCTTAATGGCAGCATACAGAGACAAAGTGTCTGAACCGAGGCTCAGGAACGCAGACCTGCAGGCAGTGAATCCCCAACAGCAGGGTTTGGAGCACATGGACAGTGCTTTTCCTTGCACACACAGCCTGGCCTTCCAGTAGCTAAAACATTTGGGATTTGTGAGTGCTTTTTTTTGTTTGTTACGGCACTTGGAGGAGGGGAACTAAAGCAGCTGCCACAAACCCTTCTTTGTGTGAGCAGAACACAGCCTTTTACACTCATATCCCTAGAGCTCTCTAGCTTTTGCCACTCATGTGGATTTGAGAGCAAGCAGAAATGCAAATTCCACTGACGTGCCTTACCACCTACCATGTACAGTTTTTGCCACAGTTTAAGAACTGCAACGAGATATTTCAGTTCTCTGCTGAGATCTTGGATAAGTTCACCAGCAAACTTTTGAGGATCTCTGCTACTGGGCTCGGGAGTCCTGTGCACGTCCAGCAGAAGCTCAGAGCCACAGACACATTATGAGGTTTGTGGCAATTTAACCAAAGAAGAAAATAAACTTTTTTTTTTTTTTTTTTTTAACTGGCATCCTTCAAGAACTCACTACAAGCTCTGCTTTCTGCCTCAGTCTCTTAGTCTATTCTCTGTTGGTGCAGTTGACCCGCTTGGTACCAACTCTTAGCTGAGCAGCTCTTTGTTTGCTGTTCTTGCACCTATTAATTGCTCTTCTGCTTGCTCTCATGTCCTCAAAAAAAACAAAACAGAGTGTGTGAGATGACATTACTATATGGGAATTGTATGGCTTGCACCAACCTTCATATTCTTCTTCGCACTGCAGAGAAGCGTCGCTTAGAACATTTAGCAGCCTCAGCACAGGCGTTGGGAGCATCACCAAATCTTCGATATGGGGAGCTGTTTGACACCCAGGGAATTAGAGAAAATACAATAAATCAAAGTCCAAAGGAGGAAGAAATCAGGAAGGTGACTCAATAGGCACTATCACACACAAGCACTTACTGCTCTTTGCAGTACGGGTTTGCTTCTCTTCACTATTACCTGCATTCACAGCCCACGTTCTCCCCATTTCCAACTTATCCTCACCTGTGCACCGAGGGGCTCTTCCAAAGGGTTCAGTGCACTCTGAATTATACTGAGCCCATCACCTGAAATTGCTTTTAAAATTACAAAGCTAGCATAAATTAAGACTAGAGTTATGTCTGCTCAGCTCAGATTCAGAAATGGATGTGACCCCAAGAGCTATGCTAGTTGAGCAAACTGCCCCGTATATATGGAGATACGAGAAGATGAGAGACCCGCTCTGCACCCTGCCTCTCCTGTTACTGCTTCCAGACAAGCTGAGAACAGGCCAGCCAGCTTCTGTAACTCCAGTTCTTAAGCTATACTAAGGCATAATAAGCCTCATTACTCTCTAGGATATCTTTCAGTTCCTCCCTGAACACCATGTAAACCTTCCCCTCTTCAAAATCCAACAACAATGCACTGTTTTCAAGACCATCATACAATCTTGCAACAGAAACAGGGAAAACTACGTAGTTACTTAAATGATGCAGTGCTATAGAATAAGGCATGGCCACAACACGGGTAAGCAGCTTTACAGGAGCAGAAATAAAGCCCGCTGCCACGGGGCACTTGGCAGCTCCAGGATGGCCTGGAACAGCGCAGCACAGACACTGCTGTGGATGAAGGAAACAGTCAAGGCAGACAGACTATCGCTGAACTGCGAGAGTCCTGTCCGAAAGGACACGCAGTCCTCTCAAAACTCCAAGCAGCAGCGACAGTGTCACTTCTCCAGGGACACATGTTTGAATTCATGTTCCTGAAAGGGACTGGCAGGCCAGTCATGAATTTAAGATCCGGGAGCCCAGCCTGCAGTACTTGTAGAGCGTTACCGGTTTTATTTGTATTGGCAGCTACAGCAGCTGAACACCACGGTAATACCTCCCAGCTCTCACACTTGACAGTGAGGGAGAGGAGGGAGGAAATGGCTCCAGTTCTCCAGGCTGAGCCTTCTGACTACATTTGTAAGGACAGCAGGCTATTATTTCTTTGGGAATACTTTTCCAAGCTAAGTACACAACACGTACGAGGGAGCTGACATCTCTGCCAGGTGCAGACAGAAGATGTTGATCTCATAGTGCAAGAGGTGATGATACGCCAGCTCACACACTGTAAATCTCCTCCTGCCTGACGCAGAAGAGTCCTTATGAACAGCTTAGAGGATGAAAGGTCTTATCAGTCTAGACGATGCCCAGACAGTGCTCAGGGACAGTCCTTCAAAGAAAGATGCTTCAGATAACCAGGCATGTTCCAGCTCCAGGTGAACCTGTGGGACCATCCTTCCACAGGACTGTTGTCAACCAAGAGACAACATCAGATGAACCAGGGACTGAAAGAATATTTACTTGTCAACTTGGTCTTAGATGCTGCCCCTTTTATGCAAGTAAGTCTGTCCATTTCACATTTGTTTTTTCAGAGAGGGAGGCCAATCAACCCCTAGGACTCAGAGCCATCTGGTCTTCCTGTAACCTAGTGACAAACGAATTTCTTGCAATGCCCTTCTGCCCCAGGAGATGCTTCCTGCCCAGCCCCTCTGCTCCTCCTCAAAGTGACAGGTGATGTCAACCACACTGACAACACAGAGGGCTGCAGCCTGCAACCAGCTCAGGAAAGAAGTTGATGAACCGGAAAGGCAAGACCTGGCTGTAAATGACAAGGAAAGCCATTCTCAGCTATCTTTGCTCTAGACAGAGCTACCGTGTCCAAGTGAAAGGCAATGACAGGTCATTTTCTGACTTCCGAGGAAAGCAACAGTAAATGCTTCTTTGTGCAGACAAGCTCACAGACAAGTCTGGCAAAGAGAAGCAGCAATTAAGAAAAACTGAAGCTGTTGTATAAACTTGTAGCACTAACCACAGAAGCACCTTCCTAGGTACAGTCAGAGGTCTGTGTTTAAAACTAGACAGATTGGCAGAAAGCACTGCCAATACACTATTCCCTCTGCTCTTAAGCAATATTGGCCACAAGGTTCAGCTCCTTCCATGGAAGGTGGATTTGATTACAACAGTCCCAATTTCTGAGATGCAAGAGAAGTCTGGAAACAGGAACAAGTTTGTTACCTTTGCATAATACACAGGAACACCAGTGTCTCGACGTGGCCTCAAGAGCCAATACTTAACCCTCACAGCAAGGTACACCAAGCAGCTTAATAAAAGCAGGGCTGACATTCAAGGCAAAATGCTGTCTCAGCCAGAAGCTGGATGCCTGAAGCATTAATTTATGTTGCAAAAAAGCTGGACACAGAGCTCTTCACTGGTGTTCCTGAAAGCAGAAAAGCTCTGGAGAACTCTTCCAAAAGCAACACAGCAGCAAACAGGGAGGGCTAGTAGCCTACACAGGGTGGTCTCAGCCCATCTTTTGCTGACAGCCTGCGACCCACAAGGTGGGGTCCTGGGGAAACACGAACATTTTATTAAACTAAAGAGAGAGTGCCAGATCAAAGTGACAGTAACATCTGTCTGTGACCTGCCACACAGGCACCAGAAGAGGTAGGCCAGTCACTGCAAAAACAGGCTTGCACCATGAGACCACGCTGGGACTATTCGACCTGTGCAGAGGAGGCAGGAGCAGATGCTCCCACCAGCCACTGCCCCAGTCACTCACATTCCTGGCCTCTGAACTAGGAAACTCTTGGCACAAGAAAAACCATCCACCTACCATAAATAGCACTGCACTCTTCAAAAGCACCTTAACGGTCACCATATTCAGTAAGTACCTCCGTTATTTCTGTCCCCTCTGATGAACGCTGCTGCCAACACACTCTTGGTCAGTTTGATCTGGGCAGAACTTACTGGGACTTCAAGGAGGGCAAAGCGACAGCCTGCAGGGCTAGAGGGGCTGGGCAGCACTGGGAGCACAGGCACCGCTCAGACCTGCCGGCTGTGGCACTGCAGACAGAGCAAAGGAGCAGCAACGCGGCTCTGTGCTGCTTCCAGTACGTGCTGAGAAAGCCACGAGCAGGGGCAATGCACACAGCTTACCAAAGGGAATGCTGAAGAATGGGCTGCATAACGCCTTCTCAGCGGAGGCTCGCTTTCCTTGGTCACAATGAAGCATGCTGGAAGAGAAGAGACATCCTTATGCTCTTGGAGGTGACATTCCTGCATCAACACATTCCACTCAGGCTGCAATAGTTAGTAAATGTGATAAGATACCTTTTGATAAGGTCTCTGAGGTGATAAGCTGGAATGGCTGAATTAACCACCCCTTCACTGGCAAATATGCGATCAATGATGGCAGAACTGTTTACCTGGAAAGCAAAATAAACAGTGCTTAGAGAGTCAAAAAAAGACCAGTGTATAGCTTGCAATATCCCATAATTTTCTGGACTGGATGCAGAGGGCTCTGTTACTGTGGCATTTCGTGAGAGATCCCCAGCGCTGCAGCCTCACTCTTTAAACCAGCAGGCCCACAGCAGATAAATTTTTCCCATTTGCCTGTGCGAAAGCTGGAAATTCCCATGTGCAGGCAAATTTGCTGTTACTGTGGATGTTATGATGCTGAAAGGATACTCTTACTGGGAAGGGAAGCACAGAACTATTTCATACAGAGCAGAGCACAGAGTCAGGCTCCAGGCTCACAACACAGCGCCTTCCTCCTGTTTTCTCAGGATACGGACTTAGGAGAAGATCCCCAAATTAGACTAAAATCGGCAAACAATTCCTCTGTCATAGTGCTGCTGAACTAGATGGCAGCCACCAGCCACCCATTTTGTTCTTCCTTCTGTGCCACGCTACAGCCAGCGCAACTCATTTCCCAAATCTTGGCAAGACACAGGCTCCAACACAGACTCCCAGAACCCTCAGTTCTTAGTAAGCCGAACACAGGCAGCATTCAGACACACCAGTCCCACAGGGCAGGCAGGTCTTTAAGGCTCTGTAACCTTAATCCTCGAGGCAATAGGATTAGGGAAACATCCTGGAAACACTCCCTAGATGCCAGGTGCTACCTTACAAATACAGGTTACAAACCAGAAGCAGAAGGACAGGTTTGGTGCAAGCAAAGACACCCACAGCAGCTCTCACCTTCCATTCCTGAGATTGGACTGTATGTTTCAGTTTCATTCCTGAGAACATTTCCAGTAAAACAATTCCCAGACTCCACAGATCCACAGCAGAGGTACACTCCGTCTCGCTCTGGAGCCCTGCCTGTGCCAGGCAGTTCTGCAGTTCTGCCTCTGGAGCCCGATACCCGTCTGTTTGAATGTATTTCACATCCTATGGAAGATCAAACACAAAAAGTTAATTTTCCAGATTCAGGTTCTCTGCTCTATCCTTAAATCAGTCACAAGAAGCTCTTCCAAATGGGTCACCAAACTACTCCTGCTCACTGGGCAGAGAGCACTGTACAGCCAGTCGTGTTGGGCGGGCAGTGCAACTCCCTGCACTGCTGGGCTGATGAGGAAAAACCAAGACTGACTGGAAGAGAAAACCTCTCCCAGCAAGCATCCCACTAACATCTGATCTCTCTGAAAGACACCTCTGCTGGGAGGAAGAGCCTGGATATCACTGCAGACTGGCCCATTAACCTCTCGTAAGCACAGAAGATGCTACAAGTTTCAGGATAAGGGTCGAACACCCACAACATGCTCCCACGTCAGCTGCATGAGAGTACAAACAGCCCGGTCTGAACAGCGAGGATCCGCAGTACTGACATGCTCTGGAACAAAACATTAAAATAACGAAGCAGGCACCTAACGCTTGGACAAGAAAACGATCAAAGGTGCTTCCCACGCACCGCTTCCCTCTCCCCCTCACAGCCAGCAGTGCTGCAGCAATCAACACCTGCCGGGCTGCCATGGCCGGCAGAGTGAAGTACAATGTGTTACCTGCTTAAAGAAAAACAGGAGATGATAGAATCACCCCAGTGCTGGCTGGAGGGGCTGCTCTGCAGTCTCCAGTCCAGCCTCCTGCTCACAGCCAATACCCCAGCACTCAGCCGTGGCTTTGTCTGGCCAAGGCTTGTAAGTGTCCAAAGACAAACTGCATGCTGCGTCTTTTTAACACGGGAGGTCTCGTTTTAGACACATAGATGCGACTCAAGGAATGACAGAAGAATATGCAAGCACGCTTCCGGGACAAGGCACAGGATTGGGAATTCTTACCAAGGGAATATATTCAAACCAAAATTATCTGGTTCTCTGATTGAAAATAAAGTTTACAACAGACATTTTCAGGCAACAGAGCTCAAAAGTGTTTTATGACCTCAAAAAAAAAAAAGTTGATACACACAAATTGTTCATCTGCATCCCTCCTCCTATCAGCAAAGAGCAGAACCTCTAGCACGGCAAAAACAGCAGATTAGCAGCCCCACCAAGCAACATTTAGAGAGAGAGAAAACACCGTGGTCAATGCCACCGGCTAAAATTGCGAGATGGAACTTCACTCCTACCATCTAAAGCATTTTGAGATATATGTGGTGGAGACCTTGCTCTAGGTACAGCCATTCTCTGTTAAACAGTAACAGCAGGAGAAGTTACGCAAGGATACGCTCGGCAGAGCTGTCACAAATAATAGCAGTATGGTCTTGACTCAGATAAGGAAATTGTGCACATCTGCGCCTGCACAGGCAGGGGTGGCGAGGGGAAGCTGATACCCAGGGCACATTCAAAGCAGAGTCAGAAGGTTCACCCGTACAGCCAGCGTATTTCTGAGAATGGGCAAAGGAAACTCAGCCCAAAGAAAGCAGATTGGAAGGAACCACGGAAACAAATAAAACACCTCATCAACTACTAGGAGGCAACTCAGAGCAAGCAGCAAAACACAGACCTGAAGAAAAAAAAAAAAAAAAACCATCTGCATTAGACACAGGACACCAGGAGAGTGTTTTTTGCTGATAGCCAGCAGCAGATTAGCAGCACAAACCTGCACTCAGCCAAGAACATGGGAGAACTCAAGAACAACATGGAGGAGTTGTTAGGAAGTACAACCATTAAAAACAGCTCCTGTACCAAAGAATTCAGACAGGTTACGCACACAGTCCTCTGACAGTTGCAGATCAGCCGGCTGTACTGTCAATACCAGCTGAACCAGTAAAAAAAGGATACGAATTTAAAAGCTTTAAATGAGTGGAGTGCATGGGGGAGGGACAAGCCAGGACAACATCTGTACAGAAAAACCATAGCTCTTTTACCAGACTTACTGCTCATCACCCAGTGATTAAAGGCAAATCTGCTATGAGGCCACACGATGAAAAAGCTTTACCCATACCCCTCACAGGCAGTTACTGAGAGAGAGAGGGGTGAAAAGAAGCTCTATCAAGCCAACAGCAAAACCTCTGGAGGCTCTCTGCTTTCATCAGAGGCCATGAAAGAGAATTAAAAGGGCAAGGACAAGCTTACAAAATGCAGAATCACCAAAACAAAAATGACAGTATGAAGAGTGAAAGCCCCAGCAAATGGGAAAAGCAGAACAGAACAGGCGGAGAACTGTCCATGTCAGTAAAGAACGGACACTGCCTACCCACAACCAGAGTACGGGCTTTCGTCAGCACAATGCCATGGGAAAGAAACATTCAGACTTCCTGAGAAAAGGAAGCTGCTGAAGATAGGATGAAAGTAAAGACAAGCACAAGGACACTGCCAGAGATAATGCAACTGACTGGAGAGGCTGATGGCGAAGCCTGGATTACTGCTACATACGATAAGGGATGATAAAAGGAAATTCTCCAGATCTGGGTGCTCCCACTCGTCTGACCACATGAAAACTAGCAAGCTTCCCAGGCAGCTGAGACACCGCTTTTTCCAGTGCATCATTAACTTTGGAATTCATGGTCATGTGTAGCACAAAGGCTAAGACATCAATAGAAACCAGAGACGTGCTTTTGTTTCTGGGGCCAGATATCTTAGCCTTTTCCAGGAAACCCTCAGCACCAGCTCAGCTACTATTCTGATTAGGTCACGTCAGCTCCTGCACTCATGAGCTTGAAAGCACCACAGACCCACACAAGTCAACACAGAGCCAACTGCCGCGAGACCAGCATGTTCCAAACCTGATTCCCCTCTTTGAAGCTAAGTCCAAAGTCAATGAGTTTAAAGCACTCCTCCTCTGCGCTCCACAGGATGTTGCGTGGCTTGAGGTCCGCGTGCACGTAGTAATGCCAGGGCTTCGAGAACGTCTCGGGCGCAGTGCTGGATCATCCACATGGAGCAGCCCTGGTTGCTGGAGTGCAGCAGCAGCTCGGACACGCTGATGTCCAGCAGCTCCAGCAGCAGACAGCGAGACGGGCCATTTGCAGAGTAGTGGTTGGTGAACACGCCGTACAGCGTCACTACGGGGAGACACATGGACAGCCATAGGTAACGAGCAATTACACCACTCTCCACTGCTGCCCAGCAGACCACAAAAGCTGCAGGAGGCAGCTCATCTGCTTTACAAAGCGTGATGCTCAGAGGGATAGAGAACCAAACTTTGGGGAAAACCCAGCCGTGTCACCCCTGCAGGCTTTGGCGAACAGGTTGGTCTCCCAGCACCCTGCCAGGCTCTGCCAAAGCAAGGGGGCCGGGTGCTCCTGCTGGGGACAATCTCTGGGACACGGACGAGCAGATCCCCATGGGTAAAATGGAGGCAGGACCACTCTTTTTGTGTGCCCCCTGCCAATCTCTTCCTGCGTGTGCCTAGGGGTATTACGGCATTAAAAAACGTTTCACCCAGACAGAAACCCAGCATCCTTCGACAAGCAGGCTTCCTCCCTCCCCAAGCCCCCTCCCAC